TTCGTCTTTTTTTTGAATTTCCCATGGGCTTCAACATCTTTTTTTTTGGAAGCTATTAGTTTGTGGCTCATGGCCTTTGGTCTTCTCTCTCTTCAATATGTTATTGGGTGATGCCAAGAGTAATAGTGGAGCTGTTTGGTGTTATGTATGGTGGACCTGGGTGGTAGGTGTAAGCTGCTCCTCTTTGTCTCTTAGGTTGCATCTTTTTTGTGGAGAGAGAGAGAGAGAGAGAGAGAGAGAGAAAAATCAAGCAAGAACTGCTCATCAATCACAAAGGTATTAAACATTTTGGATTACTCCTGTCAAAATTTGATCACCATCTATGTACAAAATTCAGATGCAAATCGATCTGTCATTTTGAAAGAAAAAAAAAACATATGATTATATGCATATTTGAAGACTACAGAATGAAAATCACAATGAAGGAAGTAGCCAAAGATTGAAAAGAGAGGAAGCCAGAGACAGAAACCATGACAAGAAGGCCATTGCGGCAGAGATCTGATATCTACTGCAAAACTTTTGAGGGCAATAAGATTTGTCCGCTCTGAGCAGAATATCCACTACACCAGCTGTTGAGCAGGCTGCAGCTAGTGTGAGAACTGTCAAGACCTGCCATCAAGTACGTGTTTGTTAAAGAGAGAGTCCAGTGCACAAAATTCCAATCACTACGGGGTCTTGGGAATGAATTAAAAAGCAGGACATACCCAATCTCCTACGACGATGATCAGGACTATTCCCGGCTGACGAATAGGACATTTAACAAGGACGGAGTATGCATCGATCAATGCCAAAGTGGAACTCCATGGAATGATCAAACCCATGACTGTTACCAAGAAGCTGTGGAATCAACAAGCACAATGAAAACAATACATAATAGATAAGAAGGGGAATTGAAGCAACTTACATTAAGATCTTAATACGATTTTAGAGCAACCCAATTCAATCCATGAAAAATTGTTTCTTGAATACATTTTCTAAGAACATAAATATATCATGATTCTTAATATTGGTTACAATCCTTCAATTTTAGACACGAGTTTAACCCAATAAATTTTTTTAACTTTGACTAACCTTAACTTCGTATCCGGACGTCATATTCGTAAATATAATACATATTTTCCATGTGAAATTTCATTCTTAAACATTTATTATAATGTTTTATCATTTGGAACACGACCATCCATAGTATTAGTCACATATTTCAAGTTTGGACACTAGTTTAACCCAATAGAAGATGGTTTATCAAGAATTGGTATTCACCACAACAGTAAGATACAGAAGAAGGGGAAAGAAGATTAGAGAACACAATCAGACAAACAAAAATATCACAATTATCTAACTTTTGTATTGACATTGGTAATTGACCCAAAGCAATTTGATTATAATTAAATTTGTGATGACCTTAGAAAGTTCATATTCTTCAGTTATTGATAAACAATTTATTGCACAACACTTAACGAGAGATTCCAAAATCAATGGAATGTCAACGCATCCGGGAAAAAAACAATTAATCTCTATCAATAGACCTACTAAAGAGTAAAGACCCAAACCATAAAGTACTTATTACTGTGTTACATAGAGATATGTTTTTAGATCTTGCATTGAAAACCCTCTTTTTTATTGTAATACATATATGATCAGATGCATATGTAGTTAAGAACCACTTACCAAATTAAGATGCAAACCTATATAAATTCACACACACAAAAATTTATAAATACACATATCTCAGATGCATCAAAATGAGAATGTGATCAAGAATTGAAGAAAAATACCAGAAGGCAGTATAGCTGTAGAACTCAACACCCAGAGACATGAACAGAAGAGAAGCACAAGAGAAGACGGTCTGTCCCAATCTCAGAGCAAAACTGGCACAGGTCCCCACAGACCCTGGTATTTCATCCATGGCCGTACGATCTTGCATGATCTACATCCACTGCTTTTCTGATAATGTTGATGATTGATTCTCCCCTTGTATTAAAATCTCATCGTAGCCTTCAAATCCAATCCTCAACTTAAACCACCCCAAACTCTTCATCAAACCAATCACATATATGGTGCTAATTGTTATGATCCCAACTTTCAAGAATTCCCAAAAATTTCCATGGGTTTCTTGCCTTTTTCTCTTTCTTTTCTGCGTTTTTTCTTTTCATCAAGAATTCCCAAGATTTTCCATGAGTTTCTTGCCTTTTTTCTCTCTCTATTTTTCTGGGTTTTTTCTCTTCTGATGTAGAAGGTTGGTGCCAAAGCAACTTATATTGGCAGAAAAACGTGAGAATAACCTTTGTTGAAAATTGAGACTTGTTTCTTCTGACGCTGTTTGTTTCTCGAAAACTCTGTTGGATTGGATCTATCAGGAGAATGAGAATTTTCTGGTGAAAATTCGAACTCGTGGAATGCGTTTTGTTTCCCATGATTGAAAATGAATTTGTGACTATATAACAATAGTTTAATTATGTCAGATTTGACACTCTGATTTTTTTTTTATTATTTTTTTATTTGACATTTGATTTTTTTATTATTTTTTTCCCATTTGAGGGAGAAGCCTATGTCGACAATTGTTTCGCACCACGTTTGTGCACCACTTTAATATAAACAGTTAAATTAATAGATTTTATAAAATTTATTAAATTTTTAATGACTCTAATTATATCGCATCAAATGGTATAAACGAGATAGTATACAAAGATATTATCCATAACATTATTCAAAAAAAGAATCTATACCCGACCACTATTATAAATTTTGTAATTTTTTATACAAATTTTGAAAGTAATTTATAACTTTTATGAGAACTTTTGATCGATGCTCAAAATTGATAGATTGACCCAAAAAAATTATAATTTAAACTTTAAAAAATTATAATTTTTTTTTGGGTTATAAATAACAAAAATTATAAAATTTGGACATACGATATTAAAATCTTGTTGGATACCTAGTCCTTGTCTCAGTTTGAGATGGGTACAATAAACAATATCTATATCATTCACGGCTGTATGTGGACGAGTATGGATATAAAACAGTATCAGTGGGCCAATCTATCACTTTTCCTTTTGCTTCTGCCGACATTGCCATCCATAGTTAAATATATGAAGACTTTAAATCCATTAATTCCAGAGTGACGCAAAATCAACTAAATACGATATGAATCAACAACATCCATTAAATACAATACACATCTCACGAACCCAACATAATGACAATTTGACTATACAAATTATAAAGTAAACAACCATATATTTAAAAAAATTTACAATTTATGAATTCACTAATTTGTTAAAACTATGCTCAAATTTGTTATTCACGTACTAATTTCGTGTTGATTGACAAATGTCTACTAGGAACAACCTTTTTAAAATGAAACATATCAACCGACCACTTGGCACATCCTTGGTCACACAAAAAAAGTCCAAGAGTCACTAGTTTATAAAGATTATTCTGAATGACATAAGTCCTCCCACCTCAACCCTAATGCTATTCTGGCGTAGATGGTCTATGGAATATTACCTGTTTGGATCCCACCATCTTGTTGAGTCCTTCCTTCAAGTATTGTAATGACAATGGGTGCTATCTTCACTAAAACGGTAGGTACTATTAACACTTACAAACTAGACCTTGCTAGAATAACAGTTATCGAGTGCCACATACTAGAAAATATTCATCGTAACAATTACATCACATCAATGTTGCCACGTAATATAATTATCTAATAATAACTCGACAAGAGAATAAAATATACCTTATGTCGTCAAACAATTACACCTCCGTATAAGATAATAACAACCTCGTGTAAAAAATATAAAATTCACCTTACACAATTGTTTATTTATTATTGAGCGGTTACCCCATTATACTGAGCATTTACTCGCCATGCACTAAAGTTTGCATTAACACACTTTGAATTCTGCGAATCATGGTTGGTTCTTATGACTATGAGTTGAGAATGAGGATATAGAATATACCTCACACCGAGGGAGTCAAAACTGTTAATATTTACTACATTTAATTGGCGTATTTAATGTTGCAACCAAAAAAAAGAAGAACCGGAATTTAATTCTCAAGTTGCATGATATCACAAGATATTTACGCTGTCACTACTACATGCTAGCTCCACAATTTTCAGGGTTCACTAGATAAAGCAGTTCGGGTAAAGAGATAAATAAAGGATAAAAGAGCAACAAGGAAGATACATATAAAGTAATGAGCTCCTTGTCACAGCACTGTTCTCCTCCTCCCTGACAACTGCACCAGAGATACAAAAGGCATACATTAATAAACAAATGGGTAGTTTAAAACCAAGATGAGGTGCAGTAAATTCCTCTTTATTTGTGGGTTTTTCCTTCCCTTTTTTTTTTTTTTTGGGGGGGGGGGGGGGGGGGGGGGGGGGAAGATTGGCTGGAGGAACTTCTTTCAGCCATGTCAATTGACTGGTTCTTTAAAATAAATAATCTAAGCGCACGAACTGAGGTTCCAGCTGTAAGGTCCTATTGCACAGAACAAAAATACATATCTTGCAAAAGTAAAGCTTATAACAATTGAAAAATTATAATTTTTGGGAAGGTAGCAACACAGAAGTAGATTGATCTTCAAAAAGGTTAACAACATCAAAAGAGCTGTGTGAACAAACAATCCTAGAAGAACTAAATTCCTTGTTTAGTTGTCAACATATACCAATTCTGGATGTGATATTGCTGACTCCCAACATGTGTTGTGAAGAAACACCAAACCAAAATCCTAAATAGAAGTGATGAGGTTTCTCCACTATCACTGTGTTTCCCTTATGTGCTATGCTGATGAAGAAAGAAATAGAAGTGACAGATTTCCCTTATTATCCTCTTACCTCACCTACTTTTTGTTAAGCTTAAACATTATCTCCTTCTCAACCATCGAAATAAGAATTGTCAGAATAGATATTAGACTTGAAAACTTTAAGATCTCAGGTAGGGGAGGCATTTAAGGGCATGTTTAGGTTACTTCAATGTGCTGTTTCTATATGTTCTCCTACAGCAAGGATTATCATACTCCTTCCCTCCTCGCTTCATTCACAACCTTTCAACAACTACACTTCAGCAATTCCAGGTTCAGAAATTTAGGCATATTAGTCATACCACGTGACATCTCCTTGAAAAATTTTCATTACATGAAACGCATGAATCAAAGCTAGCATTCACTTTCTAGAGTCGTATAATTACATTGTCGCATGTGTTTACCAAGTGCTTTAAATAGAGATTTCAGAACTCAACCCACTTTCATCATTTTATGTCAAAAAAGCACATTCATTGCCACAAAGAAATTATCTGAACATACTTATGGGCCTATATAAGATATTAGTTATTGCTCGTGCTTGAAGGCACTGTATGACAAAAAAAAATCAACTAATAAAAATGAGCATTAGCAAGAGAAAAAAGCGATGCACATAATGATAATAATAAATATCTAAAGCCGATGAATATATAAAAAATGTACAAAATTACCTCTAAAAATATAACTCAAAAAATTTAAACATATACACAATTACATATTTTATCATCATACCTTAAAAAGCTATTACTCATTACATATTATTAATTTACCCATAGTAGTAAAAAGATTAATTAAGATACATATCAAATAAAAGAACGCTTTTTGATATCAAATAAGCACTATCTCCATATGGTTAAAGTGCAAATCTTCATTCTCAATCAACCTGATCTGACATATAACTATTAATTTTCAAATACAAATGCACACCATAGAAATAGGTATAAAAGAAATTATGAAGCATCAAAACATTCAAGAGAATGTCTAAAAAATTGCTCGAAAATAACATTGGTTCTATAAATAACTTGAATTCCAATAAGTTCCAGGCATTGAAATTGTACACAGCAAACTATTGAAGCACTATTGCATTTGAAGCAATTAAAGTAATTAAAACCAATCCCCCTCACCTCTCCTTTCTCTCTCCTACCTCAAAACCCCCATGCCCACATTTTCATTGGCAACAAAATTGAAACAAAAAGCAATAAACTGAAGTGTAGTCAAGAATATCATAGAGGACAAAGTCTTGAAAAAACTAAGACAGACCAATTAGATTAGAGTCATTAGACCTAATTAATCATTTTTGTTGCAAATAATCAAAGCTCAACCATGAAACTGCTTTAATTAAGTAACAGCAGCCAACTGTTGAACCAATACAACCATCAACCAATTAAAGAATTTAATACCGCTAGAGAAAATCCAATACAATCACCAAATAGTATAATGAACACACCTCCAGAGAGAGATTCATTCAAAGTTAGTAAGCTTAAAATAAAAGAAAAGAAGAAAACGAAGAAGCAAGGATGGTGCTGGAAATATCGAGAAGGGTAACAAATGAACATTTAAATTTATCGAATTACCTCATCAAGTAAATATCAAATTCACATTTAAATTTATCAAAACACCATTCAATATCAATCAATTTTAGTAAGATTTCATCAAATTAACCTAATTCCAAAATCCCCAATACCCAATAAATTAACTACAAAGCACACACATGGTGCTGCGGGCAGGGGGGTTAGGGGGATGGGCGTTAGTGTGTTTGGGTCGTGGCTGGTGGTTCGATTTAGCATGAAGAGAGAAAGGTAGACAGAAATAGAGAAGAAAATTCAAAAAAAAAAAAAATCTTAATAACCGGGATTTTGTGAGTTGCAAGCAGAGAGAGAGAGAGAGACGGAGTGTCTTGACAGAGTTCGAGGGTTCGAGTGGATGAGAGAGAGGTCGATTTGAGTAGGGCTAAAATGGGAGGCAATTTGAAATCCTTCGTTGATTTAGGGCTAAAATTGGGGCAAATTAAATCTATCGATCTGGAATGGAGAGAGAGAGAAGAGAAGATTTACATTCAATTGTTCATTACTGAGATCGATTCCCTTGCTGTGTTTGAGACTTCGCCTGCCTTGCTTGAGT